CCACCCCCGAGCCGCGGCGCGTGGGGCCGGAGGGGCTGCGTGCCCCGTGGGCAGCGGGCGGCGCGCGTGTCCACGTACATGTGCATTTGTATTTACGCACGCGCCACGCTACGTGTGGGCATGTTGGCGTGTGTGTAAACACGCAGGCCACCGGGGCGCGGGGGTGGCGTGTGCGCCGTGTCCACGCTCGGCGCGCTCCTGCGGATGCTGCTGCTGCGTGTGCACGCGCGTGGGCGGGGGGCGTGTGCCAGCTGCTGCCACAGGTGTACCCGGGCCGGCTTCGTGCGGCCAGACGGGCTCCCCGCGCGGGGTCGCCGCGCCGGAGCTCGGGCTTTCAGCCGCCTGGGCCGGAGGAGGAGCTGCTGCTCCTGGCCGCCTCCCCCTGCCTGCCGACCCGGAGATGCCGGTGGTCGGTGCCGCCTGGAGGCCACCTGGCCTCCCGAACGCCAGAGCCCGGAAACACCCCAGGGCGGGGGCCAGACCAGAGCTCCACCCCTTACAAACGTGAGGTCGCTCTCCTCACCGGGCGAGGCGCAGCGCGGCCCCCAGTATCTGGGGCCACTTAGACCCAAGAATCTTGTTTCTTGATGGGGAGCCCTCCCAGGGAGGGTGTTTGGGTCCGTAGGGCTCCAGAAGGCCGAGGCTCTGGGGCGCAGCTTCCTGAGGTGGGAGGGAGCTGGGGAGGCCGGGGCCTAGCCGCTCACAGCAACTTCCTGTTTGAGCCCCAGGGGCACCGATGCCCCCGCGTGGCCCCCACACCTGGAGACCGGAGGCTGCTGTGGCTCCCTGGGCAGGTCCTTCCCTCCCACTGCAGCCCTGGGGTCTGTGAGTTGACCCATAAGCAGTGACACCCCTTTCCCCAGGGCTGGCAGCCCCACCCTGCAGGAAGCTCCCTCAGCCCGTTGGTCTCAGGGCTGGAGGTGACAAAACTTGCAAAACCACATTCATGGCCGAGTGCTTGAGTCCCGGCTGCGCTCGGCCGCGGGGCTGGCAGCCAGGTGTCCGTGCTGAGGCGCCTGGCACCGGCTGAGTGGTCACTCTGGCAGCACCGGTTGGCAGACTTGATCACGGGCATTGAACTGTAGCTCTGAGAGTTGAAATACCTGGGGAGAAACTCTGTTCCTGGAGGGGCGGGAGCAAACTGCAGACTGGGGGGCTCTGGTGGCCCCAAAGTTAGGAGCCCTGTGCTCCCTGAATCTGCTTTGCCATCCATAAAATGAAGGCTACTAGGGAGGTTCTCTCAAGGTGAGATGACTCGTGGGCCCCCAGGTCTTTGCGTGGAGGTGGGTGAGGGGTTCCCCGTGGCCAGCCCGCCCCCCATGGGCCCCGACCCGCTGGGCAGCATCCACTGGCTGAGGGCTAGCCCAGGCAGAGGCCGTGTTTTTGGGTCAGATCTCTGATTCAGGTGTAAATGGGGACAGGCTGCAGGGGGAGGGGACGGTGGGGGTGGGGCTTCACTGGGGCTGAGAACCACAGACCCGATTCACCTGGGTGAATCCTCACAGGTAGCCTTTGGGATTGGTTGGGGGGGGGGGGCACCGGCCGATTTGGGTGTGTTCCTGGGGATCCAGGAGTGAAGTTGGGTCGCCAGGAGGCCTTAGAGACCAGAACAGCACCCCCAGACCGTCTTCCCCACCAGGAATTTCCCAGAATGATCCATTTGAATTACCTTTAAGAAAATAGAAGCCGGCCCTGCTGGAGCCTGACTGGGTTTTGGGGCATATGGGGGCAGGACTTTGGCTGGCTGTGGTGCAGGAGGTGAGCCTGCGGGTGCTGGTCCAGAGGGAGCAGGCTGGGGGCTGGGCCTTGGCGCCCCGACTGTCCTGTCCCTCCTGTGGGGACTGAGCCAGCATCTCCCTCCTGGTGACCCCTTTAGAGCTCCTCCCCACAGGTCTCTCCTCTTAACCCCAGGGTCTCTGCCTGTGGTGCCACCATGGGGGCTTTTCAGGGGAGCTGAGTGCAAAACCCAGACCAGCCAGCTCAGGGCACCCCCTCAGCTGCCCTGCGGTCCCCACTGCCCGGAGAGGACCGGCGCCCCCCAGGGAGAGGGCAGGTGGTTGCCCACAGACACACTTGGGCTCAGAGCAAGTGGGAAACAGCAGGGCCCCCCGCAGGCAGTGTCTGACTGCTGAGGCCCTTCCCTTCCCCACCCAGCGAGGGGGAGTGCCGCAGAGGTGTGCCTGCGGCACCCCAGGGTGCTGCCCACCAGGTGCACCCGCCACCTGACTCCCCTCTCACCATTGGTCTCCAGCCCGAGGCTTCCCCAAGCTCCTGGGGGCCGCAGGGCCAGGGTGGGTCCTGGGACTAAGTGGGGTGCCTTTCTCCTGCAGACAGCCTTGAGCGCCTTTTTCCAAGAGACCAACATCCCCTACAGTCACCACCACCAGATGGTAAGTGTCCCCTGGAGTGGGGGGGGCTGAGCCCATGTCCCCACCACGTGGGGGTGCTGGTGCACGCTGGCTACTGGTCAGGTTTGGCTGCCCCCTGCTGCAGACTGCTCCCCACCTGGGACTGCCGGAGGTGTGGGGGGCTGTGGGGAGGCCCTGCACCTGCCTCCTCGGGGCCCTGCCCTCCCAGAAAGGGGCGCTCACCCTCCCTCTCTGTTCTTCCCCCGCAGATGTGCACTCCCGCCAACACCCCCGCCACACCCCCCAACTTCCCCGACGCCCTCACTATGTTCTCCCGTCTCAAGGCCTCTGAGAGCTTCCACAGCGGCAGCCCGATGGCCACGGCCACGTCGCCCCCGCCGCACTTCCCCCACGCGGCCTCCGGCAGCTTCGCGGCGCCCAGCTGGCCGGCCGCGGCCTCGCCCCCCGCGGGCCCGCAGCACCACCAGCCGCCACAGCCGCCCCTGTGGACTCCGGCACCCCCTTCCCCGGCGTCAGACTGGCCGCCCCTGGCCCCCCAGCAGGCCGCCTCAGAACCGAGGGCCCACCCGGCCATGGAGGCCGAGAGATAAGGGAGGCCCTCCCCCTCCCGAGGCCAGGACGGGGCGGGGGAGAGGACTCCGCGGCTGCCCTGTCGCAGCCTCTTCCCGGCCCTGGAGGAGGCCCGCGGCCAGCTCCGCGCCCAGCTCGCACGGCCGCGGCCCTGCTCTGGGTGCCGGTGGACGGACTCCGGGACCGCACGGCCTTCCCCGGAGCACTGGAGCTTGGCCCGCAGTGGCCGGGGCCGGGCCGGGCCGGGCCTGCGGAGCGCGTGGGCCCCGGCCGGCCGGCCGCGGAGTGCAGGGCCTTGCCGCATGTGCGCGTCGCTGTGTCGTGTATTTATACGTCCGTGCTCTTCGAGAAGCAGCCTAGCTCATGGGGCAGCTGGACCTTGCATGTTAGAGTGAGCCCCAAGCCCCTTGCCGCCACCTGTCTCCCCGGGCCTGCCCCTCCCCTAGCGCCCCCTGTTGGCCAGCCTCGCTGTTCGCTGCAGAGAAAAGGATTGTGGGAATCTCCAGGACTCTCCCCTGCCCCAGCGCTGCCTGCTGGGGCTGCCTGCATGCCTTCCCCAGCGCCCAGGGTTCCCGTGCCCATTTCCCCTCTTACAAAGGAGAAGAAAGTCCCGAACCACCACCAGGCTCCGTGGTCTTGCCTCTGGTCCTGAGCTTTGCTGCCAGTTGCTCCCACGTGGAGGGCGAGGCCAGCGGCCCGTCAGTCTTCTCGACCGCGGCCCTCTGGACTCTTCCGCCTGCTGGGGGCTCTTCCCGTATGTTCCTTTCTGGCCAGCGTTCCCAGCACCCCAGCCTCCATCTGCCCCCTTTTCCCAGTCTGGCTGCGCATATAGAGCCTCCTCGTGGACCTGCGTGTGGTGTCCGACCTTCCCGTGTCGGGCCCAGTGGCTGGCCAGGGGCCACCCCCCGAGCCAGCTTCCAGTTGTGGGCAGGCGCGCCCCTGGGGAGGCCCAGGCATGGCGTGGGTGCAGGGTCAGTAGGGCTAGTGGCCAGGCTGACCACGCCTGGGCAGGGGAGGGGCCAGAGGTCCCAGGCTGCTCCCCTGCTGGCCAGGGCAGACGTCTGTTGTCTCCCCAAGGGAGGAGTCGGGGGCAGCCTGCACCCCAGCTGGGCAGGACCTGTGCTGCCCCTCGGCTCACCCTCGCTCCATCTGGGAGAGCTGCTCCCTTCAGGAGGGGCTTGGCCCTGCAGAGAATCTGGGTGAGGCTGGGCATTATGAGCAGACACCCCGAGTGGGGCAGAGCTGCTGTTCCCGGGCCTCCCATTGAGAACAGAGTCCGGGGGGACAGGACGGGACGTCTTGGGCTTCCTCGGCTAGGAAGCCATTCTGGGGGTCACGCTGCCAGGTGGTGAGGGAAGAGCTTGGCAGGCCGCCCAGGTTACCCACTGGGTCATTGCACCCAAGTGCTGCCAGCAGGCAGGTTAGGGGGTGGCTGCCCTCCAGCACTGCCCCCCTGAAGTGGCCCACACCAGCACTCCGTGTGTGCCCAGGTCTGTAGTGTTGCCCGCAGCTGGCAGGGGCAGCCGTCCTGGGCCGGCTGGACAAGTGCCCTGCCCCAGGCCGCGGCTCCCCGTCCGGAGGTCACAGTCATCTCGGGCTGGAAGGCCCAAGGCTCCTGTAGAGCCTGGTTACCTGAGGAGACTGCCGACGGGTGTCTGTGCACTGTGGTCCCTACCTGCGAGGTGCAGTGGTACCCCTGAGCTGTGGCGAGTCCAGAAACCCGACTAAGTGCCCCTGGGGCCACCCCTTTTCAGCCCTTGCTCTGAACCCCAGGTTTCTCTCAGTAGATTACCCCAGAGCCTCCTCCAAGATGTGCAGGAAGATCAGACACCCCCAGGCCCTGGGACCTGCTGAGGACAGCCCAGACCGCCAGCTGCCCCTGAAGGGCGCTTTGTAGTGGCGCGGCTGGCACTATCGGGGTGGCATGCAGCCACCCCAGCACACGCCCTTCACGTTTGGGGACGCCAGACTTGGGCCCCACACGGGGAGCAAAGGTCCCCTGTGTGCTTGAGGCACCTGCTAGGCCCCCAGCAGGCAATGCCGAGGACTGGGCTTGTCCTGGGAGCCCCTCGGGGCCGGAGGGGCCCCCACGCCACGAGGGGTTGGGAGGCAGAGTCTCCCAAACCTGGACACTCGGAAGCAGACCTGAGGGGGGCCACGGCCCGCCACCCGCAAGCCCACACTCTTGGGGAAACTGGCCTCGTGCTGCTCCCGGCCCTGGCCGCCCACTGCCTGACCCTCAGACACCAGCATCCAAGAGGCAGTGCTGGGCAGGAGGCCCAGCTGGTGTTGCTTGGCCCCAAGGCACTTGAGGGACACTTGTGACACGTGTGTGACATCACCCAGTTTCCACGAAAAGCCACCTCTGGTTTACGCCTGAGATGTGTGCGGGGCACCCAGACCCCTCAGCCACAGCTGGCCGAAGTGGACGGCAGGGTGGGGTCAGAGGCAGGGGGCGGGCACCGGGACACTGCCGGCAGGCCAGGCTCCTCCAGCAGCCGGTTCCCCACCAGATGCCCCTGGCCAAGGAGGGGTGCTGGGGCCTCGGGAGCAGGCTGCGGCTGCTGCTCAAACCTGGCGGCTAGTGGGGCTGCAGTGGGCCAGAGGCCTCTGAGCGGCTTCTCACAGCGCCACCCCGGGACAGTCGAGTTTTGACTCTGGCTGCTCCCTGGTGCCCGGAGACCTGGGTTGGCCAGAGAGGACTCCTGAGGCCACGCCATGCCCATTCCACGATAGGGAAGGTCACCGGTGGCTTGGCCACAGTTTGCATGGTGGCGGGGGGGCCTTCTGGTGAGGGGAGGGTCTCGGGCCGGGCCACTCTGGGCAGCCAGGGCTTGGGGAGTGCTTCGGCTTCAGGTGCTGTCCAGAGGCCTCTCCTGGGCCTCTCCCTGCTGTGGCCCACCACACCAGCCCTGAGGGCCCTTCCGTGGGCCCTAGTGAGACCACCAGGAAGGGGGGGAGCAGAGAACCCTCTGCTGCTGGTGGTGTGTGCCCCCAGGTCCAGCGGGCATCATGGGTCCAGCCAGCCTTGCCGGTGGTGATGGGCCCTCGTGCTGACAGCGCCCCCTTCTGACTGGCGGTCTGGGCAGGCCCTGCCTGGGGCAGTGTCTGTAAGTTAGTGTCTTTGGAAGGGCAATAAGTGACCCTTAAAGGGGTAGGGGTGGGGCTGGGCTTAGGGGTGCTGTGGTCACCACGTAGCATGTCCCTTCTAGCAGCACCTTGGCCAGAGCTGCTCCATCCCTGCCTGCGGGGCTCAGCCGTGCGCCCCATGCACCAGCCCTGCCCTCCTGCTCTGGCCCTAGACCTGCTGTGCCAGGGACCCCTCGCTCCCACACTGAGCCCATCCCCTTGGGGAAGCTGGAGCCAGGCCCTCCTGACACCCCCGTGCTGCCTGCACCCAGGCCTGCCCCTGAGTGCCGCACAGACCCTCCCGGGCTGCTCTGCCCGCCATGCGCCCCTGCCCACACCCAGGCCTGCCTGCCCCACTCAGCTGCTGTCCTGGACCAGGATGCTGGCTACAGTGCCCCCAGGCTGAAAGCCGGCTTGCCCACTGCCCCCCACCCCACAGGACAGGGTGGCCTGCCAGCTGCGAGCAGCCCGCGGCCCTCAGGCTCCCTGGCTGCAGGACCCGAGCAGGTCCGGGTCCGACCGGTGCAGTCGCTGGGCCACAGCCGCAGGCCCAGCGGCACTGGCGTGGGCCTGGTGCCCACCTGTCTCAGGGCCAGGCCAGTCCAGGCACAGGCTGGCCGGGGCCACCTCCCCCCTGGCCCGGCCACCCCGACCGCCTGCAGGCGGGAGAGTCCGCCGGTGCTCGGGTTTACCGGCGGCCCGGGGGCAGGCCCACTCACCCACCCAGGGCATGCGAGGCCGCCTTCTGCAGAGGCTCCGGCCACGGCCCCTCGTCCTCGGGAACGCAAAAGGTTTGTTCCGGAGAAGTCACCAGGTCACCCCTCTGACTTGGTGGCCGTGGAATGGACACTGCGCTCCAGGCTGAGGGGCCGGGTAGGGCACCCAGCGCCTTGGAGAAAGGGGAGGGGTGCGGGGCATGACCGGGGCAGCTAGAGGCAGGGGCTGGAGTGGCGCCCTCCAGCATCCCCCTGACTGACTCAGCCTTCCAGGGACTGCTGCGGACGTGGGGGGCGGGTTTCATGCCCCAGAGCTGCGCAGAATGAGATGTTCAGTCTGTGAACTTTGACAGATGCGGGCGGGGCGGGGCGGGGGCAGGGGGCAGGGGTGCCAGGCCTGGCGGCTCAGCCCCGCTAGATGGCCAGATGGCCCTTCAGGCTCGGCTCTGCGGCCCCGAGGCCGGGCAGTTAGCTCGCCCGCCGGACTTGAGCGAGTGCGGCCCGCCCCGAGGGCGCCGGGAAGGGAAGGTGAACGGTAGGGGCAGTGTCCGGCTCCCCCGGGAGCCGTGGGCTCAGACACGCAGGCGTGCGAGCGGGCGTCTGGTTCCCACGGGAAAGCAGCCCCAGAGGAAACAGTGGCAGCAGCCCTGGGGCGGGCGCCCGCGACCGTTTGGCAAAATAAAGAGGAAAGCGGCTGCTCGTAAAGCCACGTGAGCTGTGTTGCACTGAAAGCCGGTCAAGGGCTCGAGTTGGCTCCGTGGGAAAGTCAATCCAGAGAGCCGTCTCCTTGACGAGCCGCCGACGAGCGGCTGCTGCGTGTGCTTGGAGGCAGCTTCAGAGGGCCCCAGCTTAAGTGTCCCTGCGGAGACCCCCGTGTCCAGTGTCCAGGGCACCTAGGTGCTCCCAGGCTTGGGCCCGGGGGGTGGGGCGCGGGGCGCACAGCTCACAGTTTGCTGGGCTCCTCGCTGGGCTGGGTGTTGGCTTGGGACTCCGGGCGCAGGGGCCGGGGCTGCCTGGCGGGGCCTGGGGCCAGCAGGGGGTCCCGCAGGGGGTCCCGCAGGGCTGGCGTCAGCCGAGGCAGCAGACTCAGGGGCGGCAGAGACGGAGGCCGAGCTGGCATGGTCTGGTACAGGCCCGAGGTGGCTGAGCGGACGCTGGTGTGGGGGTGCAGGGCTGCGGGGCAGGACAGACCAATGAGGTGTCCCAGGAACATCCTGGGGAGAGGCTGGCCTGACGGCGCATGCCCCCAAGGAGAAGCCCAGTCAGTGGTGCTTTGCTGTGGCTCCTGTCTCAGCCACCCTAGCTTCCCGGGACAGCCCAAGTTCAAGGGCCCCAGAAGTGGATTCTCCAAGGGCTCACGGGATTTGGAGCCTGGGGGCCGGCTCTGTTGCCCACTCACGGCCGCTCATCTGGCAGTATGTGGACGTGGAGATCCGGCATGTGGAGACAGGCTGTGAGCTCAGTGCGCCCGGCCTGGCCCCGGGACCTCCTGGCAGATGGCCAGAAGAATGCTTGGGCTCCCTGACCCCATGCCGCAGTCAGCTGGGCGAGGGCGGGACACCCAGCGGGACCCTGGGATGGCTCCTGGGCCAGGCAGCCCCTGCAGGGAGGAGCAGGCCCGGCCAGGGAGTGGGTGCTGGCTGGGGCAGAGCAGGCGGGAGCTGGATGAGGCGGGTGCAAGAGCCTCAGGTCGGGACCGGCAGGGGCCCTGTCCAGCAGCAGCGGGCTGGGCGGCCGGTGGACGGAACTCACAGGAGTAGAAGGCGCCCAGCGAGGAGGTGTGGCGGGAACGGTCCTCCAGGCCTCTCAGTGGGGGGTGCGGGGCCTTCACAGCTAGTGCACAGGAGGTCCAAGTCGGGCCTGGACGGGCCTGCGGGGCCGCAGCCTCCAGCACAGGCCCTTGACTGGGCCCTCCCCACCCTCAGCGCTCCGGCTTCCTGAGCCTGATCTTTCTGAAAGCCTGACGCCGGGTTGCTGATGTTCCCAGTAGGTCACAGGTCAGCTGTGAGGCCCCTCCTAGTGCCCCGGGGGCAGACCAGCACGAGCCCTCCCCTCTGCCTGGTGCACATGTGTGTTTCTTAAATATTTATTTATGCACACAGTGTTGGGGTGCAGGCCAGAGGCACAGGGGGTGAGAGGCTACCCCAGAGACAGAGTGGGGAGCAGGACAGGCCGACTGACCAAGTACACTGCTGAGGGGAGCAGCGGGTGGGTCAGGAGTGGTCTGCTGCGCCCTGGGGGTCACTCCCTGGCCGGGGATCAAACTCGCGCTGAAGTGGCTGTGGCAGCCTGCAGCGCTGCGTCCTCACCCACAGCGCCACCGGGGGGCCTCACGCACATTTCCTAAGGTAAAACCCACTTCCCCTGAAGCGCCGAGCATCGAGCATCGGGCCATCCAGCGACAGCGGCGGTCAGTTCACCCAGGGTGCTTCGGCACCCTGCAGCCACCCAGCCCCGCTCTCTGGCCCCACCATCTGCCTTTGCAGCTGACTCTGTCCTTCGCTCTGAGCCCCTCTCCGTGCCCAGCCAAGAGCCCGCCTGACCGGCCACGGCTGCAGGCCAGAAGATGGAGGAGAGGAGGGGAGGGGAGCTCACGGACGCAGCCGGCGCGCAGGGCTGGGGTGAGGGGCCAGGCTCAGCCCCCGAGCCTGGCCTCAGCGGCCCCTGGGGCTGGCCCATGCCCCGGCTTACTCCCTGGGGAGCACGCCAGTGGTCAAGTCGGTCACTGTCCCGGCGGCAAGGATGCTCCAGAACAGTGACACGGGTTGGCCACGTCTCCTGGCTGGCCCCGGCGCGAGGGCCCTCCCCGGGCCCAGCAGCTCTGCTTTCAGGAAGGGCTGTCTCCAGCTCACCAGTCAGCGAGGACGGACGGGAGCCGGCCTGGCCCCCACAGGGCCAGCTGCAGCTGGGCAGCCAGCAGGCATCGTCCTGCCTCCCACTGGCCCTGGTCGTGGCCCGGAGCGGAGCCCAGAGCCCCTCCTGCATGCACATGGGTTCTGGGGTTGGCAGGCGTGGCCTCCCTGCCCCTGGGTCCACCCTGGTCCCGCAAGACTGTCCGCAGCTTCCCTCCCAGGTGAGGGTAATGTGCTCAGCAGGGTGCGCGACCTGCAGCCTGGCCTGGCCCAGGGCCCCTCGGCTGAAGCGCCTCTGGTGCTTCTGTGGGAACAGGTGTCTCCGCCCCTCCCACCCTGCTCCCGTCCTCCCCTGCCCGCCTGGCATGACGGCCACAGCTGGCTGCGGACCCCGACCTGAAGCTGGGAGCGGCACCCTGTTGTCGGAGGCCCCATTTGGCCCCGGGGAGGGCGCCCCCGCGCAGCACAGCCCTGAGAGAGCCCTTCCGTTCCCTGCCCGTCCAGGGGCACAGGGCGAGGACAAACACCCGCACGGCGCAGTCTGAGCCTCCCTGCTGTGGGGCTCCTGGATGACCCCCCTGTGTGACTCCTGCCTGGACCCCAGCCGGGCCCCTCTTCCCAGAGCGGGGAATCCCCAGGAGGCCACAGAAGATGTCCCCGTGGTATGGCCGGTCAGAGCCCCCGGCCCCTGTAGCCGGCTGCGCCGCCCGACCGCGGCCCGCGACTGGGGCGGGCTCCAGAGAGCCGTGTCCCAGCCAGCCCGGCTCCCCGCATAGATCGGCCTCCGGGGCTCCGCACTTGGCCGCCCCGCACCAAGGGCCTTTGCACCTGCGGCCCCCACCCAGCTCACGTCCCAGTCTGTCCCCAGACCAGCATCCACGCACCCTCCCCAGCACCCCGCCCGCCCTCGGGCCAGACTTGCGCCGCCCAGCGGGGGGGCTCTTGGTCTGCTTCTGGCCCAAGCGGAGGCGGGACAGGGCGGGACAGGGCGCTGCAGGGCGGGGCCCAGCGGTGAGTGTGGCTCTGGGCCTCCCACGCCGCCCCCTTGGCCGGGTCACCCGGGCAGGCCTGGGCCTCACCTGCCAGCTCCTTCTCTGCGCCGGCCACCCCCTCCTGGTCACTCATCCGGCCCTTGTACAGGATCCCGTCCACGCCCAGAAGGTCCACCTCGGCCTGTTGGAGGCCCGGCCTGGCTCAGGGCTCTCCGGCACGCGGAGCCCCCCGATTCCCAGGCGCCCGCCACCAGGGCTGCAGCCAGACTCACGCTGTCATAGTCCAACACTTGGGGTTCCCCGTAGGGGTACAATGTCGCCAAGTCATGTGACCTGGCCTTGAGGTGGCTGTCGTTGGCAGGGCCGTCACCCCAGTCCTGCGGGGAGTCCGGGATTTTCAGGTTCCCTTGCTGCCGCCCCAGGTCCTGGAGCTGCCGCAGCTGCTGCTGTTCCCTGGGGGGGCAGGGCTGGTCAGCGGCCGCAGACCCCCACGCCAGAGCGGCCTCCGGACAGGCCGGGCGCGGCCGCTGTGCAGGGAAAACTGGAGGTGCTTCCGGCTCCAGCCCCCCGGGCGGGCCTGGGGGTGGAGCCGAGGGGAACGGCCAGGCGGTCAGGGCGGCGGCCTCTGTGCCCCGGCCCGACACTGCGGAGCCCCGGCCGGCCCGCCCACACGCCTCGGACGCCTCATCTCACAGGTCCGGCGCCGGGCGGCCGGGCCTTGGGCACAGGCCGAGTCCTGCCCCCCGTGCAGCCGGCCTGGCTCGCAGGGGCTGCGAGCGTCCACGGGACCGTCCCCTCCCAGCTCCCCCGCCCGCAGTCTCCCTTGCAGCCGGCCCGGGGCCTCGGGCAGCACCCAGCGGCTGCGGGGCCCGGCCCACGCACCTCATTTGCTGGCGCTGCAGGTACTCGTAGCTGTTGGCGCTGGCCGGTCGGGGCCTGGACAGCAGCTGGGCTTTGCGGATGGTGATGAGCTGCCTGGTGTAGACACGGGCCAGGTGGGAGGCGCGTGGGCCGGGCTCCTCCCCCAGGCCCACACGCAAGCTCGGCCCTCCGCAAAGGCCACGCACGGGCCCAGCGTGCCCAGCGCCGGGTGCCTGGCAGCGGCCACCAGCCACCCGGGACGCCGGAGCCCACGGCAGGGACTCTCCAGCAGCTGGGCGAAGGCTGGAGGCGGCCAGGCCTGGGGCGAGGAGCCGGGGCTGACGGCGGCTGGGGCTCCTCCGGGGTGCGGGCGCCCAGCACCGGGAGGTGCTGCTGCACCGCGTGTGATGTCGGAGGCGTGAGCGGCCCCTGGGAACTGGCCTGTGTGTACACGGCCTCGGGACAAGGCGGGGGGAAACAGGCCGCCGCTGGCCCTGGCTGAGCGCAACCAGGAGGCCACGGGGAAGCGGCACAGGCCACACGTGGCATCTAGCAGGCCTGAATGCAGATGAATTTTACCTACACTTAAGAGAACTGAATTCGGCACCATTTAAACCACCTTTGCCAGAGCTGGTGCTGGGGCCGCAGTGATGCTGGCTGCTGCCCGGCCCAGGACTGGCCAGGGCACCACAGACCCTCCGCACTGGAGGCTTGTCCCCGGGGAGTGACCTGTCCAGAGGACTGTACGACGGCTCCCGCCCTAATTCCCCCACACTATTGTAAACAAATCTGCAGCCAGAGACCTGAGGTTGAGGGGAAACTGGCTGTTGCCCCAAAGCCCTGCCGAAGGTGACCATGGGGGTGGCGGTGCCCCGGCCAGGCGAGACTCCAGAAGCCCAATCAGTACAAGACCCTAGTTCTTAACCACAGCGGAGGGCGTCTGGGCAGCACCCCACAGAATCATCCTACAATCCAACACCCCGCTGCCAACACCCCCGAAGACTGGACACGCATGGATGTGACAACGCACGTTCCCGCTCTCAACTCACAGAGGCTCAAGGACAGGAAGCGGATGCTGGTAATGAGGGGGCTGTCCCTGCCACGGGGTGTCCCGCAATGCCCACCCCGCTTGCAACCCACGCGGCTCGCAAGCCCCAGGCTCCGTGCCAAGCTGCACCCCGAGCCCACACTTCGCCCCGGGGAGGATGCGTGGACACAGGCGCGGGGGTGGGCGCCTGTGTGGGTTCGGGGCGTCCCGGGGGGCGCGCTGGGCCGCTCGCACGCGCACGCACACCGGCTGCGAAGCGTGGAAGCCGCCGGCCACTCCCGGCAAGGCGGGTGACTTCAGACCGAGTTTCCCTCGGTAAATGGACCAGAGCGCCGGGCTGGGAGCCCGCGTCCCCCAGCTCAGCCCCGGCAGGCCACCGCGACCCTGGACACAGGCCAGCGTGCCGCGCGGAAAGGAAGGGGCAGGTGCGTGGGGGCAGGTGCGTGGGGGCAGGCGCCGGGCGCGACGAGCTCAGGCGGGCGGGTGCGGGCGCCCCCTGGCGGCGACACTCACGGGCTGCACATCAAGTCCACCTGCCGGTCGCACGAGATGCATTTCACCCGCTCGAAGAGTTTCCTGCAAGACAGTGGGGCTCAGCTGCCGCGCCAGGCCCTGGGAGGCCACCCAGCGGCGGCTCTGCTGCCTGGGGGCTGGGCCTCCCCCAGACCTGCACCCCAGGCCAGCCTGGCCCTGCTGGCCCCCAGTGGGGCCTGGGCAGAGGTGGGAGGATGCATGTGTGTCCTCTATCTCCTTGCCCCAAACACTGTGGAGGTCTCTAAGAGCAGGAGCTGTCTGGAAAGTAACCCCTCACGGTGGACACGTGGGGGCCAGAAGGGTGATCCATGAACCAGAGTCTCCCAGGCGCCCAGTCCAGCCTTGCATGGCTCTTCCCTGAGCGTCAGTTTCCTCATTTGCAGCAAAGGCCTCCACAGAGACACGTCCTCTGCAGCCAAGGCCAGCGCTGCCCCCAGCCCAAGATTCAGTCAGCCCCATCCCCCACCCCTACACTCAAGCTGCCCCTCTGCGCCAGGCCCACAGGCTGGGGGTATCCCAATACTCCCCTGGAGGGAGGGGCCCCCAGCCTGGGAGGTGCTCACTTCCGGAAGCCGGCAATTCTGTCGGGGTCAAATCGGATGCTGTCCAGCAGCAGCTTCCGCATCACCATCCAGACCTCATCCAGCTCCACCCGCAGACTGTCCAGGTCATTCTGGGCCAACTGTGAGCAGCCAGGCCGGACGCTGAGTCCATGCACACCCGCCTCCTCAGAGGCAGCTCTGCAGCACGGAGAGTCCCAGGGAGCACCCCGAGGTAAACACGAAAGCGAGGTGGTCAGGGAGAGGAGCGTGGCAGAGCTGGGCGAAGGCCAAGAGCCCCTGTTACCAGACATGAGGCCAAGCCCACTGCTCATCTGCAACCTGGGGCCCCAGAGACATTTCTCCCCGAGGGGCCCGAGACCTGCCAGTTACCTTCAACACAGGTCTGCCTAGGGGACGTAGAGTCGGTGGCTCTTAGAGATGCACCGAGCTATGCCACGATTTGAAAACATTCCCATCACTCTCAAAGAAACCCCTTTCCCACCAGCAGTCATCCCTCATTTTCCCCCAAATTCCTAGTCCCTGGAAGCCACTCATCTACTTTCTGTCTTGAGAAGTGCCGATTCTGGACATTTCTAGAAAAGGACCCCTGTGTGATGTGGACTGCGTATGCAGCTTCTTGTTCTCAGAATCATATTCTCCAGGTTTATCCAGGTTGTGGCTTTACCACTTTTCATGGCTGCGTAATACTCCGCGACCTGGCCAGCTCGCATCCTGTTTACGTGTCCATGTGCTCACGGGGTGTCAGGCTGTCTCCACTTGGAGGTGGGCGTTAGTGCTGCTGTGGACACCCGTGTGCACATTTTGTGAGGCCAGAAGTTTTCGTTTAATTTCTCCTGAGCTGGGAGTGGGAGTGCCGGTTAACTCCATGTCATATTGTGAGAAAATGGCAGGCTGAGTTCTCCAAGGTGGGGCTTTCCAGTCGTAGATGGCTCCCTCCGGGGCCCAGAGGTTCGCCTCTAACCACCATGTGCAGTTGGGGCTGCGGTGGGGCTGGGAGGGTGCCGGAGCCAGGACAGCTCTGAAGTGCTGTTGCTGCACCAGCTGCTCCCCGGACCGGCCTGGGTCCTCGGGGCCCACAGCGGGCAGCTGGTGTCAGCACGGCCCGCGTCTGCTCGCGGGGTCAGCCACGCCGAGTGAGTGAACAGTGCCGCCCCGGCCCCTGCCAGGAACCGGGATAGCTTCCTCTCGGTCGCCCCCCACACTGGACAGGATGGGCTGTGTCACCGCGGCAGATTTCAGACCTGACGAGGCTGACACCTGTCGCCTGTGGCTCGTCATGAAGGCCGGTGGCCTTGCTGGTGCCCCGAGGCTCCCTCGCTCTGGGGGAGTCGCTGCTCCGAACGGAGCCCCTGAGCGGCAGGCGGGGGCTTCGTGGGGAGAAGTATGCTGCCCCCCACCCCGGCCGGGCCCTCCAGATGGCGCCTGGACAGAGAGCCCCGAGGCCCCGAGCCTGGGGCCGAGCACGCCCCCGTGCTGACTCTCAGAAAGTGAACGCTGGCCGGGCCGGGGTGAGGGAGCGCAGCAGAGGCCGACGGGCGGGGTCCTCACCTTGGCCTCCAGGTCCTTCCTCAGCCGCTCCAGGGCCTTCTTCCAGCCGTCCTCGTAGCCCAGGACCTTGAGCAGCAGGCTCTGGACGAGCTCATTCAGCTCGGTTGCCACCGCCTCCAGGTCCACCCTGTTCGCCTTGCCTGCCAGGGTGCTTCTGTCGGCTTTCTAGAGAAGGGGGGGCTCAGGGAGACAGCTGCTGGGGGGCAGGAGGGTGGGGTGGCAGCCCCCCGGCTCACCTCACTTAGCTCCTTCTCCACCAGCTTCTTGTCCACCTTGTTCATGTCCAGTTTTCTTATTTGAGCCTTGATGCCCTAAGAGCAGAAGCAAGGGGCAGGCCATTCCCCGGAGGCCCGAGGACGCTGTCTGTGCCCACAGGGCAGGCGGGATGGGGCCGGCGCAGGACAGTGGGGCACGTGGCTCCCACCCCGCCCCCCGACACCCTCCTGAAGGCCGCCTGACCGAGGGGAGGGGACCTTCTGATGGTGGAAATGGCTCCGCTGGTTCTGGTGGGGTCTGTGTCTTTCCACCCCAGGGAGGGGGTCTGCTCCTAATGGTCTGGGACATCTCTGGGCCAGGCCCCACCGGCATGGTCTTCAGGCGTCCACCCTCACTGCTGTCCAGCCAGGCCCCGCGAGCAGGGTGCCCAGAGTTGGCTGGTTTGGGGGGATGTCGGGTGCAAAAAGCACCCGCATTCATTGGGCACGTTCTGAGCCTTTGTCTGGCCAGATACCTTCTAGGGGCCAGTGACCTGGTGGTCAGCAAGATGCTGACCAGGCCCTCTGTCTGTGGGTTGTGGGAGCTTGACTGTCTTTCACGGAAGTGGAACCACACCGAGAAGACCCCACGGCTCCCCCGCCTTGGGCACACGCGGGGCCTCGGTGGCGGGCAGAGGTCTGGACGTGGGCCAACACCCGGCCGCCGCCCTGGGACCTTTAACTCATCCAGGCGAATCTGGACCCTGTCCACCGACTTGTTCAGCACAGTGTAGTGGTCCTTCATGGCCTCGATCTGGTGGCCCCAAACCCTCTCCAGTTCTTCCTCCTGAGGAGACACAGCCGTCAAGGCCCGAGGCACCCCCAGGAGGGAGCTCGGGGGGCACAGGCGGGGGCAGCCTGCCTCCTACAGCGCCGCGGACAAACGGGGGCCCCCCCAGCGGGCTCCGGTCCACCGGCGCAGCTGCCGCTGGGCCCCGCCCCCAGCCGGTCCCTCCACTCCAGGGCCTGCGAGGGCCGCCGGCGGCCTTGGGGTCTGCCTGCTCGCCTCACCCCTTCTGCCAGGGACACTGACCTTCATCCTGGACTTCAGGAGCTCGCCGACCTTGTCCTGCAGCATGTCCACTGTCATCCCGAGCCTGGAGGAGGCTCTGATGTCCGCTGGAAGCAAAGGCGGGCAGGTGGGTGGGGCGCTTCCTCTCCGGCCCCCCACCCCGCACGCAAGGTGGCGCTGTCCCCCGGAACCCGAGAGCCTGGCCTTCGCGTCGGGGACACTTCCAGCGGGGACGTGTTACACAAATGTCTAGAGAGCAGCCGCGGGGCCGATCTCAGCAGAGCGTGCTGGCTGACCCTGCGCCCAAGCAGGACCGCGCCACGCGGCCACCAGTGCTGGCCTGTCCTGGCTCGGCGCTGGCCTCGGCGCGTGATGTGCCAGCAGGTTCCCCTGCACTCCAGAACCCCCTCCAGATGCCCACCAGCACGGGGGGTTCCGGCCATGAGCACAGGCCTTGGGGAACCACCTGGAGCCACCTGTGGGGTGGCCGGCGTGCGAGCGAGGCCACGCACCCACCACGTGTCCTCACTAAGCACGTCAGTATTGCCTGGAGGCAGCTGGGGGCCACCCTCGGGATGGGGCTAGAGGAAGGGGTGGGGGGAGTGATAGGGGTCAGGGCTAGGGCTGCACCAGATCACCCCGGGCCAGGCCTCTGGGTGCCCACGGCCTGCCCCGGGGAGGGACGCAGCCGCGTGGCCGGGCTGAGCGCCCTGAGCCAGGCAGGCTCAGTCCCGCGAGCCGCTGCCGTGCCGTCTCCTGGCCCCGGGGATGCCGGACCACGCTGGGGCCCGTGAGCGCCGGGCTTGCTCCGCCGCCAGCTGCCCGAGTGCCCCCAGGGTGTCCACACGTGACACCCAACGCCACTCCGTGCGACTGCCTTTCTCGTGGACATCACGGCCCTCGTGGTAAAGGAGCAGACCACGGGCTCCCTGGGGCGCAGGGGTTAAGGCGCAGCACTGGGGGGCGGCCGCAGCCGCTGCAGCACCAGCCGGATGCCGCCGGGGAGGGACCCCAGGGCGCAGCTGCCCCCTCCTGCCTCCCCGCGGCGCCCCTCAGCAGTGCACTCGCCCATGGCCTGCTCTGCCCCCGCTGTCTCCGGGGAGTCCTCTCCCCCCGCAGCTCCAGCCTGCGCCCGGCTCTGTGGGCGTCCGCAAACGCATCCTTTTGGGAAGGACAGACCGGCAGAGCTCCCGCGGGCGCCCCGCAGCCCTGCGGCAGTGGGCAGCGCCCGGCCACGGGACCTACACAGGTAGTTGAGGCGCTGCAGCAGCCTGGACGAGAGCTGGGCCAGCTCCTCCTTCAGCGAGTCGTGCCGGGCGGGCATCTGGGCGATGTGGCTCATGGACTGCCTGACGGCGTCCTTCTTCTCCTCGGGCGTCACGGCCTGGCTGGCGGCCAGCATGGCCTGCGCCAGGCCCGGCTCGGAGGGGGGCGGCACGTAGAGCAGCGGGAGGTCCTCGTAGTCCCCCTCCGACAGGTCCTCCACCTGGACGGCCTTGTTGAGGTTCTGAGTGGCCCCGCGCGAAGACCCTGCGCCCAGCTCTTCGGCAAAGACCCCCAGGGGCCCGGACGCAGCCTCGGTGGTGGCCCTCGTGGCCAGCTTGGTGGCGGGGACGTCCTGCACGAGCCTGACGGTGGCCCTGACGGCCTCGGCGGCCTCGGCGGCGGCCGCGGCATAGGCGGCGGCGGCGGCCGCGGCAATGGAAGCCGAGGTTTTTAGCCGTTTAAGGGAAGGTGGTTCACCCTTAAGGAACGCATTGGGGGCCCCGTCCCCGGGAGCCCCATCCCTGGAGGCGCCATACTGAGGGAGTCTCGCGACCTCTTGGGGGGAGTCTTGCTCATTTTCCGTGAGCACCTGGTAAGACTGGGGCCCTGGCCTAGCAGGCCCACGAGGCTCCCTGGCACTCGGGGGCTGGCCAGGCGGGCCGGACAAGTTGTCTGTGCCCCAAAAGGGCCAACGGCTAGCTGCAGAGAAGCCTCTGGGGGACCAGGCTCCTGGTGGCATAGGCCAGAAGCCTGGTGGCGTTGGCTGAGCGCCTGGGGCAGATGCAAGTCCAGGCATAGGCCTGGGTCCAGGCATAGGCCCGGGGGCGAAGGCCGGTCCCTGTCCCAAGGCCAAACCAGGCCCTGGGACAGGCCCGGGTGCGAAGGCCGGTCCTGGCCCGGGTCCCAAGGCTGGTCCTGGCCCGAAGGCCGGTCCTGGCCCAAAGGCCGAACCAGGCCCAGGGACAGGCCCAGGCCCAAAGGCAGGCCCAGGTCTGAGAACAGGCCAAGGTGCCGTCACAAACCCGGGTGCCAGGCTGGGCCCCAGCACAGGCCTCAGTCCAGGCACGAAGGGTCCAGGTCCAGGCTCTAGCACCTGGGGCAGGCCCAGCTCCTGGGGCGGGCCCGGCTCCTGGGGCGGGCCCGGCTCCTGGGGTGGGCCCAGCTCCTGGGGCGGGCCCGGCTCCTGGGGCGGGCCCGGCTCCTGGGGCGGGCCCGGCTCCTGGGGCGGGCCCGGCTCCTGGGGCGGGCCCGGCTCCTGGGGTGGGCCCGGCTCCTGGGGCTCGGGGGGCGGGTGTGCCTGAGCCGAGTCCTCTTCCTCTAGTTCCGTGGAGTCCTCAGGACTATGTCCAATGGTGTGCAGGGGGTGGGACCTCCGGATGGCCTCCTGGGACTGGCCAGCAGCTCTGGCTTCAACTGCCAGTTTGGTGACCTGCTGGGGGCTTTCCTTCTGGATTTCTTCAGCGACCTTCCACAGCTCTGAGTCCTGCAGGGGTTGTGACTTTCTCTGCAGAGAAGCCCCACCAGAAAGGAGTCTGGGTGAGCGGGTCTCTGGGTGCCTGGAGGGCGCCCCCATGCCCCCCAGGCACTCACTGGAGAGAACATGGCGTCGTGCAGGCTGCTCCAGAGTACCGTGTCCTCGGCATTGGGGGCGCAGAGCACTTTATTCTGCAGAGATGTCTGGGGGAGGCTGGGGGTGAGGGGTGAACCCCGCCAGTGCCCGGGCCTTCTGAGGTTCTGGCTTCTGTACCCCTCCCTCCCTGGCACCCTGAGCCTGGGGGCTGAGGGGAAGAGGGCTGGGGGGTGCAGCTCTCACCACCTCCCGCTGCAGGGCATTCATCTTCTGATGCTGCAACCTCAAGTCCTTGGAGATACCATCCACCTTTTCAGGGTGCATCTGTGAAATGAGCCAAGTCCATAGGCTGGGTGGGGCCTGCACCCCGCCAGGCGCCTCCTCACAAACCAGGACCTGGGCCTGGAGCGCCGAGGCCGGAGGACAGACTCCACTCTGGTGTTTCCCAGTGAGTGGGAAAAGGCTGGAGAAGGGGCCCTGGGCAAGTGAGAGGGAAGTGCCCCCTCGGGAGCCCCCGGCGCTCTCAGAAGAGCGCTGCTCACCTGCAGGGCTGCTTAAGAGCCTGTGGGGCCTCCCTGGGGGCGCAGGGGGTACAGCATAGCCCTATGAAGCTGGCCGCAGCCACTGCAGCTTGAATTCCATCCCTGGCCAGGGAGTGACCCCCGGGGCCAGCAGACCCCTCCTGTCTCCCCGCTGCTCCCTCAGCAGTGGATTTCAGTCCATCTGCCTGTTCTGCTCCCCGCTCTGTCTCTGGGGAGCTCTCTCGCCCCCTGCACCTCTGGCCTGTACGCCAGCTTTGTTTGCATAAATAGCTGAATCTTTGAAAAGAAGAGCTGCAGTGGACAAACATGTGCCCTCTCCTGAGGGCCTGAGGCGCCACCATTTCCCACTCAAACCTTTTGAGTGATCTGTGAGCAGGCTCCTAAGGGGCCCTTTCTGCTCGTCCAGCTGCCCGGCCCAGGCTGGGCACCCACGCCGTGACAGTCGGCCGCACGCTGACCCAGTTGCTGGGGCAGGCTGCAAGCCCCCAGGCACAACTCCCACCTGAGGCTGTGGAGACCTGGCTTGTGGCCCCAGCGCTGACTCACCAGCTGTGACCTCAAATTTGGGGGTCCCATGTTCTTTCCGTGCACCCCAGGGAGCTAGAACGTGCCTGGGTTGAAGACTTTGTGGCACGGGGCGCCCGTGGGCACGCACAGTAGCTCTCAGTAGGTTCAGAGCTTTCCAGAAGAGGAACCACTTTTCCTTCCCACTCAGTTGGAGGAAGAGAAGCCTGCAGTCACCGAGCCTTGGGGTGCACCTGACTACCCCCCAGGAAGGCTGAGAGACAGACCTGAGGTGGTGTGAGCACCTAGATCCAGCTGTGCCTGCAGGCGGCTCTGACCTGGTAGTCGCTGACCAATACATTCTCCATCTTGCTAAAACCAGGACTGAGTGTCGCGGGGTTTTCTGACTAAGATCAGGCTTGCTAGATGCTCCTGTCAGCCCGCTCCAGAGGCCACGCGGAAGGCCCTCACGGGGTCCACTGGGAGGGCCCACCTGCTCAAAAATGCCCTTCAGCATGTCCACATCCTTCCTGAGGGTCTCGACGGAGACTTTGAGTGCGTAGATGTCGGTGAGCAGGTCCTGCAGCGTCTTCATGGACTGAGGGGCAGCGAGAGGACGGGGCAGTGTCCGGCAAACAGGCCGCCCTCCACACGGAGCAGCTCGGAGGGGCGCGCTGCCCGCCCTGGGCCGCCCCAGCTCCCGCCGCCTTCCTTCTCTCAGCTGCCGCTGGCGGGGGGCCGGACGCCGCCTGCCCGGGTGGCTGTAAGGGCAGGGGAGCCCGCTGCCGCCCCCGGGCCGGGCCACCGCGCCTCTGCAGAGGCTCGGTGGGTGGCTTCCCTCTCTGGGGACCCCAAGAAGCTAACAGATGTGAGCACCCGACCTACCTGGCAGGTGGGGAGAGCTGAGAGAGGGAGCCTGGGGTGGGGGAGCTGCATGAGGGGTGAGGTGCGGGGGGAAGGCCCTGCCCTGGCTGTCCCCACACTTCAGACACCTCGCCGGGGGCTCCCCCTCCGCCCTCGCGGGCTTGGAGGCCTAGAGCAGGCCGCCCTCCGAGACCTTCCGGAGCCGAGCTGCCATTCTCGGCCATGAGGCTGCCTGGCCGACGGCCACGTGCGGACACTGACCCCGGGCTGCC